TCTATTTTATGTTGTTTTTTCTAAATTCCACGAAATGTGTATTAAGCCCCCTCAACAGTGTACAAAATGATCCTATGTTACTTAAAAGAAGTTGAGTGTATTTGAACTTACAACTGGTACCATTTTGGAGGGAACAAAATTTAAGATATAGGTTGATAATATACTTTGAAAAGATTTTGATGAAATATTTACAACGTGTCAGTTTGTTCAGTTCCACACTGAAGAAGTAACATGACATTAGAGGTATTTTCTCGGAAGGAAGTGTGATAGAGAGAACTTAGTAGATAATTCAGATTTACCTTGTTGGTACTTGGACCATTTGAAATCATCCTCTCCCCTGTGGTTCAAGTAAAAGTAGAAGGAGGGACTGCAGAGCTGTCACCTGACAGTCAGTCTCTGTCTCTGTCCCCCCCCCCCACTCTTTCCCCTCCATTTGGATAACTTGTTTATCCATCTCATACAATAGGTCTTCATCAACTTGTCTAAAGACCTACTGTGTGCAGATTGGACTTTATTGGGTGAGAGCTATATAAAACTCCTCAATCTTGCGTTAGAGCTAAGTGCAGGATTGATCTCAAGTACAGTGGCCTGGACAGCTTAGCCCCTTTGGTAATGGTTCTTTGAGGAGAGCTTCCAGCAGGTCTTTGGCTGTGTATCCTAAGTGGCCTTCAACAAGCTGGTCTCCCATGCTTTCCCTTAGCCATCAGCGCAAGGCTTTAACTTAGAACTCTGTGCGGCACTGTGACTATGGCTGACATGATGAGGTCCTAGTCCCATTCTGAGCACTGCACAACCAGCTAACCCTCCCTCCCCACACCCCCAGGTTTGTTCTCACAGGGGTAATAGCCTGATTAAGATAGGTCAAGGGTACCCTTGCCAGCGCAGTGTCTTGGATGGTACCGTCCTCTGCCGAGGAGTGCCTCTCTCCACAGTGGGTCTGATCATTCTGGAGATGCCTGTAAGCCTGAGTTCTCAATACATCCAACTATTAAGCTGATGCCAGAAACTAGCTCATTTATTTCATTTACTAAAGTCTTTTGGATATTTTTAAAAATTCATTTATCAGGTTCGGCTGATTTTAATGGCTGTAAAAGGTGAGGGGAACCACCTTTAGAAAGAACATTGTTTAATACCTAGCCACTGTAAAATCCCAGAGAAAACAGTTGACTTCACTGTAGGTGGGGACCTGATAGCTCAGTAGGGTTGTGTGTGTTTCCAGAGTCTTCAGGGAGATTACTGTCAGACTTGAGATACTTTGTTTCTTTCTCTGAGTGGCTCCGGAAGAAACATTTGATTCTAGTAAGTATCTGGAGAGTGTTGTCGGACCCTTGGCTTTTCCTGATGTAGTCTAACTCAGTAGTCAGCTCCTGGCAGCTAGAGTGAGTTAGTGGTAAGCCTGGACTTGCTTCTGTCATGATCACGCCATCTCTATCCTACCAGGAGGCTGAGCCATAACCAACATGCACAGATCACCTCTTGTGTGCTGTGGGGAGATTTATACCAACAGCGGGGGCTTGGTTTTCATCTTTCCACAAGTTGTCTGCTTTGGGCATCTGATACCAACTGATGCAAGGATGGGACACAATTAGTGAATAGCAAGAACACACGCATGCATGTGCCCACACACATACAAACCATATAGTCATTCATGTCTGCAGTTCTGAATGTTTAAAATTCCCCTTGAAGATAATTAAATGCTTAGACTTCTACTGTCTTTAGTTATTCAATCAAAAGATTTACCAACCACATATCACCACCCTTGCAGTTAAGGGTGGTGGCACATGGTATGGTATTGGCATTAGCAATGATGAAACAGGAAGATCAAGAGTTCAAGCCAATTTTAACTATAAAGTGAAACCCTGTCTTTTTTATTTATTTATTTATTTATTTATTTATTTATTTATTTCTTAAAGATTTCTGTCTCTTCCCCACTGCCGCCTCCCCTTT